AAAAGAAAAATTTAACCGGCCATTATGATGAACCAAGGTTCATAATAATAAACACAGCAGACTATAAAGTAGCTATGATAATTAAATATAATCAGGTGGCATTGAAATTAGAGAGGGAGTTTTAAGAAAAATTAAATACACTTACACATCAGAAACATGTATGGATTGTATAGGAAACATTGCAGTTGTAGATAATGAAAAGTCGAATTAACTTAAAGCAGCATCTCTGCTTGCATTTACAGAAGCTTTCTACTGTATGAGAAAGAGGTCCATTTTGTTGGTATTTTATTTTTCAGAAAAAAACTGAAAAAAGGGTATATTAGGTCTTTTCAAAACGCGATGGAACTTATTATTTTTCTTATTATAACAAGGGAATGCTGTACACTACAATTTAGATAGTTTATGTTTATTAGATAAAAACTAGTGTCTTTAACGATCTTGTTTTGTTCGAAATATGGTGTGGATCAAAAAATAGATTCGTTAGCTGTTGCTCATTTCACCTAGTAGTTACGAAAAATCTTTTCAAACGTTTTAACGTTTATTTTATGAAGGCGCTATATACTGGCCTTTGAAAGGCCTATTTTATTGGGATGGTAATTCAACCAGCAGTGCCTTGTCAAAAATGCGATAAGAATATTTATGTTCTCTCTACTCAATACAAAAAATCGATTTAACATTAGGTTATGCTATACTGGCGAGCCCTAGGGGATCCACTTGGATCTATTGGACCAATATATTAACGTATGTAGAGGGATTTAACATTAGTTCATTAAGTTGATGAAGCTCTCAACTCTCTCAGTTTGTAAATTGAGATTACTTTAGGTATAAAAGTTTTTTTTTATGTACTCTATCGCTAAAATGTGAGACTGCGTATAACACTTAATTGTGTGATCGTTATTTTGTGAGATAGTTAGCATTTCAAAATCTCAACATGATTTATTTATCTAATTGTTATTATTAAAAATTAATTTCGTTCATAAACACTAACTTAATAATTGTTAAAAAAAATACTTTCTAAAATACATATAATTTAATATGTAATTTATAATTTAATAATGTTAAATTTTATGACAACAAAAATGTATATAAATATATTTTGTTGACTAGTGTAAAAGAGTTTTACTATGTCGTGTGCTGATTGAGTATTAGCTTTAATGAACCCAAAATCAACGTAAAACGACAAGTTTTAAAACCGTTTTGAGTTCATTACAGTTTAGTGTTCTACAGCTAAGCAAAGACTACAGACTTATCAGTTAATTAAATATTAAATATTTTAGTTAGAAGCGCTAATTATAGAAAATAATACAAAATGCTTTACGGAGTGAGATTAAAAATGATTTTTTGTTTATTAAAAATATTAAGTATTTTTATTGTAAACAATGCTGAAGCCAAAATAAAGCAACCAACATCACCACATATTATAATGATCTTAGCGGATGATATGGTAATTAAACATATAAAATATATATAATAAAAAAGTGATATCAAAAGTGTCCATTGATAATTCTAAATAAATCAAAAGGGTTTCGATGATGTTAGTTTTCGTGGTGCAAAAGAATTTCTAACACCCAATATTGATGCCTTAGCCTATCATGGTAGAATATTAGATCGTCTATACGCGCCATCAATGTGTACGCCATCAAGAAGTGCACTACTTACAGGAAAATATCCCATACATACAGGTGGAACTAAATATTCTTTCAATATTTATTTGTTGAATGGATATACTTATCTAATATTAATATATATTCATAATTTTTATGATAATTAAAGGTACCCAACATTTTGTCATTAGCAATGAAGAACCATGGGGATTATCAACGAATGTTACAACAGCAGCAGAAATATTTAAAAAAGCTGGATATGCCACAAATTTAGTTGGGAAATGGCATTTGGGCTTTGCTAAAACGGAATATACACCAACATATAGAGGATTTGATTACCATTATGGTTATTGGGGTGGATTTATAGACTATTATCAGCGCAGATCAAAAATGCCAGTAACCAAAAATTAACATTAATATGCTATTAGAAGTTTAAAAAATTTATTATACATTTATTTATTAGGTTCCAAACTATAATATGGGGTATGATTTCCGTCGCAATTTGAATTTAGAATGCGATAAACTAGATACATATGTAACTGACTTATTTACTAATGAAGCCGAGCGTATTATCATTAACAATAAAAATACAAAGCCGTTGTTTCTATTGGTTAATCATTTGGCACCTCATTCAGGCAATGAGGATAATCCGCTGCAAGCACCGGCAGAGGAGATAAGAAAATTTAAGCATATTAAAGACCCTAATCGCAGAATATATGCAGGTATATATATAAAATTTGATTATTTAAAAGCTTTTACAAGAAAATAATTACATTTTCATAAACCTAATAATAAACCTTATAATATATATAAATATACATATACGTTTATATATATGCACATAGTCTGGGTGGAAGCATGAGAGGTTGAAGACCCAAAATAAATTCTATTCTCATATACGAATGTATATTCATTATAAATGCACGTTGACTGTTTAATAAGCTAATGATTTCTTAAAAATTCTATATGCAAGTTTCTTTAAAATGAATTTTTAGCGACGGACTTGTAAACAGATATTTATATTAATTAAATAATTAAATTCACTTCCATAATTAATTATAACTAAATAGCAATTAATAGCCTAAAAGCGAAAGAACTAGCAGTCCAGTTCCTTATATTTAGTTAACTTTAAAATTAATTTTAATGCTAACTCACAAATAAATAAATAAATAATAAATGAATAGCTTACAGTATATATAGAATATACATATCTATATAAATATTTTATATATGTACTGTATATTACAAATCAAGAGAATCCAAAGCCAACTATAGGTCGGTGATGATTCCGATATTTTGGCAGATAACAAGATTCAATCAATTTTAGGTAAAAATTTTTTTTGAGAAATGTGTGATCATAATTTTATTTCAGTATACGAAAATTTGAAGTTTAAACTTTTTGTTTTGAAAACCTTTAATTCAGTTTAAATAATCCTTAAATCTTTTTTTAATAAGAATTGCAACTTTTAGGTCTCATTTTTAATGATACATTATTTCTTTTTCTTTTTGTTATAATCGCTCTATTTTTCGAGAAAGATACTCTACTTTTTATAACATTTTAAAGGTTTAAAAACTTTTTAGACAAAAATAGACATCTGTTGCAACATGTTCATTACTTCCATTTCCATTTTAATCATTTTATATTCCAGAAAGAAATATTTTACTTTCTAAAAAATATCTAAGGAACTTTAACTTTAACCAGGATACCCATGATTTATTCCCATATGCCGTTATTGTTTGCCTTTAATTAAAATACGCTGCCATATAAAACAATAATTATGCTTATACAAACTAAAAATAAAAAAAGATAGACAATAGTAAAATAAAATAAAAAGAAAAGTGATATCTATATATAGGGATTAAAATATTATAAATAAAACCATGTACATAGGATAGGACCTTGAGAAAAATAGAGTAACGTTGCCTTATAAATGCAATATATTCAATTATAGAGTTCTCCATAACTCATTAATCTTCATTACCATTTATAAATTTTACGATAATGTACCTCGATTAATACTGATAATGGAAGACCTTCCCGTGTTTGTCATCAATTTGACGTGGAAATCAATTTGTCATTACCTTTTATTTTCCGAATGTGTAAATTGTTGAGAGAGAACTTTTTGAAAAATAAAAATGTGAACTAATAGCAAATTAATGAAAATATAATAAAAACATTCTTTAAGTATTTTAAAAAAAATACTGAAGCGTAGAGTATTAAAATTAATACAATAAATGTAATGCAAAAAATATGAAAACTAATTAGAACACGTATGAGTAAAAAAAAAGCTTAACAAATTATATAGAATAATAAAAAAAATTAATAAATTAAATGAAAAAATTAATTAAAAAAAATAAAGCAACTTAATAAATATTTATTATTTAGAAAATAAAATAATGCGACAAATAATTAAAAGTAAACAAAATAAACATATAAAAAATAAACAAACAAAAAATATATATAAAAAGATTAAATAAAATAAAATGAATAAGTATGGCCACGTAAATAATCTTAAAATAATAGAACTAAAATAAGCATGAGTAGGAATAAATTAAAATTATCAATGAATAACAGACAATATAATAATAAATAATAATAAATAATAATAAATAAATAAATAATAAATTAAAATAATATAAACCCAACTATGCTTCTATGATTAGAAATGTAATGTTACATTCTCTTCGAAATGTATCTAAAATATTTAATGTGGGAGCATATGCAAATAATTGTTTTTAGTGGGTGGGTTGATATGTTAGTAAAATATATCTTCAAATCTTCGGTGAAATGTCAATTGATTGTGCCTTTTTGGTTTTTCGGTTTTTTTTTTTTGATGAGTTAATTTTGGAGAACACAGAGTATTGGCTTCGAATAATGTCTCTGTCTGCGGTCCTCGATCATTGTCTTCCAGGTTCATACGACTGTGACAGAGTCGGTTAAGCCAACTGAAGACCTGTGTGCCATCTATGTAATTTAAAACCAAATATAACATTCCCTCTTTGTTCCATTTTTTTAATTCGTCAGACATACATGAAGTGATACTATACAACATATCTAGCCACGGTGAAATCAATTGAATTCATTTAAAATAGACGTAAGAAGAAGACGAAGAGTATACCACTCACCTACTATCACTTACTAATAGATGTCGCTGCAAATCTATGAGTAAATTGAATATATTTATGTTAATTTGAAATAATTTTAATAATTCAAATAGAATCTATTTTACTCTATTACCTTTCAATATTTTTCGGCAAAGACCCATAAAAGCTAGATTATTGGCATAATCTTGTTTTATAAACATCCTAAATTTTTTCTTATAATAATTATTGCGTGTTGTCACTCTTCTTTTGAGGTTAATTTTACAATGAGAAGAAACTATAAGGAAGATCCGAACAAATTATAACCTGTTAGTACAATGTTGCCGATATGATACAATTAATGGGGTCTCAGAGTAATATGTGTATTTTTGAAATACTCTTTCGTTTCTGACCAATTAGGGTCTGTTTCTTAATAAAGTTTTTCATTTACAATTACTGGTAATATACTTGATCCACTACTTAGTCAGGTAGTTGTTTGTTGTTATGACAATACTGGCAGTAAAACAGTTGTTTGGCCCATGTAATACCTTGTCGACAATCTCGATTTCATTTCATTTATAATCAAAAAAAATATATATTTAAATAAATAATATTTTTTTTTAAATATGTATTTTTACATATATTTATAAATATATGTTTATAGAAACACTTTTTTTTTATAAATAAAAAGGTATAGGATGTAGATAGGAACATTTGTCAATATATATAAATGAAATTATCAAATATACTTGTATAAAGCAACCACTTATATGAAAGACATGAGTAACAGTTAAAAAAAAACAAAAAGAATTAGTTCAGTTAATTAAGTTAATAATTAAATTAATTATTATTATTATTATTATTATACTATATATTATATAGTATATTTTATTATTATTATTATTATACTATATATTATATATTTTTATAAACTCTATCTTTATTATTTAACAGCTATGATTTCAAAATTGGATGAGAGCGTAGGTCGTATAACAGCTGCTTTGGAACGTGCAAATATGTTAGAGAATTCTATTATAATATTTTACTCAGATAATGGCGCGCCATCAGTAGGTTTATTTTCTAACACCGGCAAAAATTGGCCATTAAGAGGAGTAAGTAAAGCTTAAAGTTAATATATCAAAAACACAACAATATCAAATTTGAACCAAATATTTTACAGCAAAAAAATACGCCATGGGAAGGAGGAGTGCGAGTTGCAGGTGCCATTTGGAGTCCATTAATTGAAGCACGTGCAAGTATTTTCAAACAGCCTATATATGTTGGTGATTGGTTGCCTACTTTAGCTGAAGCTGCAGATGTCGAATTACCAAAGGACTTTGAACTGGATGGCATAAGTTTATGGTCTGAGCTAAAAAATGATAATACAGAGACAAATTACAAAGAGCGCGAAATAGTACATAATTTGGATGATATATGGAATGTAGTTTCATATATGCGTGGACCATGGAAATATATTAATGGCACAACATCGAATGGTGCTTATGACAATCTAATAACTTATCGCGAAGAATACGACGTTGATCCAAGAGAACTACGTTATGTTGTGGAAGTGAGAAACTCAGCTACGTCAAAAGCATTAAGAAAATATGATAAATATCGACTGACGATGTATAGAATTGAGCAATTACGTGATAAGGCCGCTGTAAAATGTGGTAATCTGCAACGAAGTTGTAATGCGCTACTTGAGGAATGTCTTTTTAATTTAAACGATGATCCGTGTGAGCAAAATAATTTAGTTTGGGATACTGCTTATAAGAACATATTAAATGATATGCGTGAAAGTGTAGAAAGTTATCGTAAATGCGCTACTAAACCAGGCAATTTACCGGGACAATTGGAATATGATCCAAGTAGACATAATTGTGCATGGACAAACTTTCTAGAAGAAGCACCAACAAATAGTATGTTATATTCTTTTAATACAGAAAATATTTGAATTTAATATATATATTTATTATATTAGATACCCTGGATTGTGGATATCATGGACCTCCTTGTCTCGAAACAACTGATGTAGGAGGTAGAAACTCTATAATACATATAAATAAATTTATATAAAATTTTTTATAGCTTTAAAATGCACTAATAAATATTATTTAATGTCAAGCAAATTACATACTTTTGAAATTTGTCATCACTAAGGACGCAAAATGAGTTCAACTCAAGAGATCATAGAGTAAAAATGATTAACCAGGATTTCAGAAGGATAATTTTTATAAACATAACATTTAATCGTAAAGTAACTGTAATCGGAGGGATAATTTGAATGATTCACTTAAATAGCAAAGACTAGAATTGATCAGCAAAAAATGAAAATTGATCAACAGTGTTCCACTAATTTAATACGAAACCCGACACAAGTTTGGTAAATCGCCAAAAGTTTTTGCAACTTGTCACATCTACCATATTCTTCAGATATTCTTTGTTATTTCGATTTTCTTTTCTCAAATTTTTTATTAATAATCTTATATTTAGAATAATTAAATATAAGAAATAATTTCAAGATTTCTAATGATGGGTATTTGGCAATACTCGAAACAGGTATATAGACAAGCAAAAATTCAATCAAATAAAAATAATAAAACCTTAGTTGTTGCAATTCATTATTGTTCAAAACCTCTCTATAAAATCATTAATCTAGACAAAAATGACATTATCATGACCATATAAAAAAACAGTTGATCAAAAACTGAGCGCTAGCAACACACTAACATATATATTAAGCAATATTAAAAGTATTCATCGTTTTTCGTCACCAGATGGTGTTGATATTTTTTAATAGTAATAAGTTAACCAAATTTTTCGCCCATAAAGGGCAGAAGTTCTACACCGATGGAATTATGACAATTCCCGAAATATTATAAATGGCCATAAATAATAATAATAACGACCAATAAATACTTAGGCCGTGTGCGAGTTTGAGTAAATTGATAGTAAATTATGGGAAATAATAAATTATGTCGGTATGGCAGCGAATATTGGCATTTACCAGAATTTCGAGTAGGGTAGTTAAGATAAAAATTATGTAAATTAGGTGCTACCATAGTGAAAATTCTATAAGATGTTTAATAAATAAATAAATAAATTTGAAACATTTTAACCAAAAATAATAAATAAGTGCAATAAATAAATATTTACATAAGTGCAGTGCAAAAAATTCTAGGAAATTTCAGTTTGCTTTAGCTCAATTTACTCGAACTCGTACATGGCCTTAATTAAAATTAATTTTCAATAAAGAAAAATTTTGTCGCTAAATGTACCAAAAAATGGCAAATACTTTTTATATCATCCAATATACGAGAGCGGTTTGATAAGTCAGTGACTTTTTGAATAAAATACATTTATTTCGGCAAATAAACATTTTATTTTTCTACATTATCACCTTTTAGCTCGATACATTTAGTCCAGTGTTTTTCTAATTTTCTTATTCCCTCCAAATAATAGGTTTTCTCAAAGCTCTCAAAATACGCGTTTGTTTTGGTAATGACTTCTTCATTCTACTCAAATCTCTTACTGTCCAGCCATTTCTTTAGGTTTGGAAACAGAAAATAGTCGCATGGAGCTAAATCTGGAGAATATGCTGGATGGGGTACCAGTTCGTATCCCAATTCGTTGATTTTGGCCACAATGCTTAATCAGCACACGAAATTCACTTTTTCCCATTTTCGTAAAAATTCACGAGGTTGTCTGCTTTGAACGGATATCAAACACCAACTGAACAACGTAGCTTGCTCACAATTAAAAAATTCCCACTGGTAGATTACATCTGACAGCAGCAGTTCTGCATTTGGAGTAATTGCGCGGGAAATTCAAAAAGTCATTGACTTATCAAACCGCCCTCGTATATATGACAAAAATATATAATGTTATAGAAAAATTAATGAATTAATGAATGGATTGTTCAGTGTATATGATAGCTATAGGATAAAGTCACAGATTTTTGTCATTTTAATATAATGTATGCGCAAGAATTGATTCGATCAACTCAACATATAGAATAATATGAAATGGAAAGCTCTTTAAAGCTCTTAGATCAATAAGTAAGCTTACATAGCAAATTCAAATTCATATAAGACTTAAAGTTCTAATCTCTAAGCTTTTTGGTGTGCAAATTTTAGTGATGGCAACTCTAAGCTTTTTGGTTAGAGCTTTTTGCTCTAATCAAATATTTAATTTAGACTCAATTCAATAAAAACTTTGAGTTGCTAAAATTTTAATTTTATTTGTTAGTTAACTGTTGAGGCTGTACGATCGTGTTTGAATAAAGTTATTTATTTACCGAAATTACATGGGGTAAACACGATTCACTGGTGAACATTACATTGTTGTTCCAGACAATTATTGTGGGTGAGACTTTACATTGAAAACAATTGTTTTTGATTTTATATAAATAGTATAAACGGCTGTTGTTGTAATGCTGTATATAATTAATATGTAATCACAACTAAAATACAATAATGTACATATAATTGAATTATTTTGCATCTGTTAAGCATTTTAATAAATTAATTCGATAAGATTTCGTGGTAAAACCAATAACACTTTTTTAAAAATTCGAGACGGTGGCGGAGTTTTTATTGTTAAGGCAGGTTTTGCACGTACAAATTGATAAGCAAAACCGCAATCCGTTTTATATATAAATATTCAGTGAATTTTTATTACAAAAGTGTTACATATTATTTTAAGTAAATAACGTAATAATATATGAATGTGAAACTGATTAATAATATTAAACATGCATTTTTCTAATTTTTTCATTTTAGAAAATTAGAAAAAATATTAATGATTTTTTTCGAGGAAAATATATACAGAATATAGAATATATACAAAAAAGTAAAAATAATTCGAAGAAATAAACATAAAATAAAGGTATAAAAAATAAAAATAATATTTATAACATTAATAATATTATAGTAATAATATTTATTCCAATAACGGGTACAAGTGAAAAGTGTTAAATACAGATACGTGAAATTAAATTAAAATAAATTCAATTGATTAGATGAACAAATAATTCGATAATTAATTAATTTTTTTTTAAATAAATAATTTAATTAAAAATTTTTTAAGGCAATTTATTATTGTGCAGTCACATTAATCTTTGGTGGTTTACACATTATTTAAAATACGATACATAATACTGAATCACCAAAAACGGGTACGGAATTGAACGATGATTGCAGATCAATTGGTGATTTTGTGATACTCAGCTTCTAATTTAAAGCTGTTATGAGAGTTCATTGTAATATCATATCACCCTGATAGAAACTTTCGCTGAACTGTTTAGAGGTTGACAAAATAATTAATAAAACTGTAAGACCCACATTGTGGAACATACATGTTTAAGTTAACTCAAGTTAACAGAGTCTTTTAAGTTTGATGATTTCCTTAACATTTTCAATGCTATATCTTCTTCAATAAAAATAGTGATTTTTAAAACTATCTGCCTACAGTTTTGTTCTACATCGGAGTATTCCACCACACAATTTATATGAATACCGAACTGTTGATCTATAAGACATAAATCTATAGAGATTATAGATAAAGTTAAGATATAGAGATAGAGACATACAGATAGATTAATTTTTCGCACCTTGTAAGTAACATTTTGTTGTGACGTTTCTAAATTTAATTAAAAGAAGATGTTATATATAGAGATAAATTTTTTTAGGCATAAGTTTACAGGTTGTTAAAAGAGTTTAAAGCTTATGTGCTATACACTTTTCTTCTATATATGGGCATATTCATTTACTTCAATTAATAAAATGTCCAACTGTGGAAACACATCATTTGGAAGTCATTGAATCTGAAAAGTTATAGCTACTCTACACAACTATGTTGTATCGTAATGTGATACTATAGTATTACCTTTCTGAAGTATCACCTCTCAAAGAAATATGTAAAGTCGCTGACCCACTCACATAAACTAGATACATGAAACTACTTAGAAAACAAAAATCACAAAGACAATATCTTATCGTTACCAATATCTGGCGTTAGTAACTTTAAAATTTGGATTTCTTGATTAAGTTTTATTCATATGTGGATCAGCCGTGGTGGTCAATAGGTGCACTTGGACCTATAGGCCTAAGTGGATCCCTTATGATGCCGGTATAACCTACCAACCTAATTGAAAGTAATTATAATGATGGTGTCGCCAATCTATTTAGTGATGTATAATAATGATATAATAATGCACCTGAAATGCTGAAACGTCCACAATGTCTACAACTAATTATTTATGATATTTGAACTTTGGTACTAACATTTGTGATTCTATATGTAATCAAAGCAGTAATTTTTAATGATGAACAAATATAAAATTAAAAAAAAATTTTAAATAAAGCCCCAAAAATCTCAGAAAGAATATAATATTCATATTTTTGACAGTTAAACTTTCTAAAATAATGTTTTTGATAAGACCAAGAAAATGTTTTAGATAAGATCTAATTATATCAGAAAAAATTAGATAAAATGTTAAAATAATGAATGATGCGTGCAATTAATATAATATATACACAGGTATAAAAATATATTTAAAAATAAGGCGATCTTGACAATACATATATTATCAGAATAAAACATAATTATTAACACAAACATACGATCTCCGATAAAAAATTATTATTTGGTTATAATCTTTCAGATGAAATTTAGGCATTATTCAAATATTTATTAGTATTTTCTAATTAACTATTTTTAAAATTAATTCAAAAAAATATATATTATTGCTATATTATATACTTTTATTTATCTAATAATGGATTTGATGGCACTAAGAACCATAAATATGGTTAAAAACATATGTGTTGTCAATAAATGTTTCTTAGATATGGAAAGTAAATATGACGATTTATTTAGATTTATTCCATGGACAACAACAGGAAGATTTAAACTTTATATCTTGAAAATCATATATTTTTGTTATAACACTACCTTTGATTCACACTGAATTTTTTCAGAGTCGAAAATAGTAAGCTCGTAGCAGTTAGTTCCTTTACTCTTTTATCTGATTGTGTCATTTTTTTTATTGCAAAATCTCTACTATATTTAAAGCACTACATAACGGATATCAGTAATTCTTCTCTCCGACGATTAAATTTTTGTAAAAGGAGCTGAAAATTGCAGCCATTCTTACCTTGGTGTGCTTGGTGATAGTTTGAATAGAAAGCTCTCTATGAATATCAGAGATTCTGACTCAGCAGGGGAATCTTGAAAATTCTAACAATTAAAAAAAATTAGCGAAATATACTCAAACTTTGCCAAATTTCAGATAATTTATCTAATAGTAATAATAAGTTAGAACTTTAAAGACCTAGCTAGAGTCAATATAATAATATCGAATTCGAAGTGCAAATATTACGATATATGTAGCATATACTAACATAATATTTATAAAACCTAAATTTTTCTTTGAAGTAATCCTGGATAACATTAGTGTTTATAACTAAGTAACCTTAAGTTTCTTTATACTATCTTCAATTTTTAATGAGTTGATTTTGCAGAATGCGATTAGTAGTTCTCTAACAAAATAGTTTTTCCAAAAAAAATTGATCTAACGAATGATGTATTATAAGATTCTGGGAATAATTTTATTTCCATTAATTATTTGTGAGGAATATAATTTAATTTAATTTTTAATTTAAATACTCTGTAGCTCCTAACCGGTTTCAGTAGCCAAGGAGAACATATTTGTCAATGCATCTCCTACACCCTAAAAATGTGTTCAAAATAAAGTTTGTCACATGGGTTATGCCCCGACTTAATTATAATAGATTAATTAGCAGGTTTGATTGCTGAAATGACTTTTTGCCGGAAAATTATTTAATAATGGATATGATATTGCGAATCTTTATTAATACGATTATTGTATTTGAACAAATTCTTTTTTTATTATTGTTCGTCGGTTTTTATAATAGTTGTTCTTCGAGTTAAAATCACTCTTTAATAATTTATTTATTAATAAGGGGGGATATGGCAGTACGACTATCTGGTCTATTGTGTCTCCTTTTGAGCATAGAGTAAGTCTTTAAGCCATATTATGTTAATAAAAAGTAATATAGAACCTAATTTATTTTACCTATCTTATTTTATTGCCTTTCCCGTTAGGATATACATTCCCAGAAGTCTGTTCGGTGTGTGAATCTTCATTCTCTTCGCAGAATATACAATTCCCATCTGTATATATGCCATCTAAGAATCGACACCTGATTCAATTCGTCGAGCAGGATTAGCTTTGATGCGAGTTTAGTGCGTTGATAGCCGCTTGGCGGTCTGTCACTACTCCTCACTTCTCATTTATTATGATTTATTATTTTTATTGGTATTCATCGATATTGCTTGTGATGTGTTGCAACTGAATTCAAAAGGTTAATGTTTTGAGAACTCATAGATTTTTGTAAAAATTGTTATTAATAACTAAAGCTTATTCTAAACCACTAAAGAACTTTTTTTCAATATGACTTTTTGCGAGGACTGATGGTGGTAAACTCTCTATTAATATTTTATATGGATGACGAACAAGAGAGAAACAAACTCCTACACAAAATAATAGGAATAATAATTATAGTATGTTAGTAATATATAAAACTAATTTATTGAGTATGTATACATATCTATTTTTAAATATTCACATGAATTATTTTTATATTATTTTAATATTTCATAGCTAACTTTATTATTCACTTAAATAGAAACTAAGTAATTTATTTGGAATGTACTTATAATAAATTAATTATATATCATATATTAAATTAAGATAACACCCGTAATATATAAAAATAAATATTTGTTAAATAAATATTCATAAATACGGTAAAGTTCAATTAAGGTTGATGCACTTTAATATTTCAAAATATTTGTTATAAATGACATAGATTTGAAAAAATAGTGATTAATAAAATATAACTAATTTTTATGTACATTTATATAGAAATTTAAATTTTTTTATTAGCAAATCATAACAATAATTTCAAGTTGAAAAAACTATGCAATTGGTTTAGGGTCAAGGTATTGAACTTTTGTGACGAACATAGAATATGAACCCCCCATTTCTGCTTTAGACTTTTAAAAACTTAGAAACAAATTCATTTTTACTGAATTTCTTTTGAGATACTCTTATTTAATTAAAATTTAAATATTATTTCTTTGCAACCTTTGGGGAAGTATGTTTTTTATTGTCATTCAAAATGAACATTCAAAAGACATCAATCCGTTTCAATATTCAAAAGATTAAGCCGCAGATAAAATGTTTCATTTGAATATTGTAGATACTTGTGTTTGCAAATTTGTGGGAACATTTCTATTTCATTTGATAAAGTACTGCACTTCAAATAATTTATGCAAATAAATACAAACAAAATAAAATAAATATATAACCAACTGATAATATAATTTCTTCCATTTCAGATTTTTCTATGTATTTAAACTGTATTAAATAAATAATTACTTTTAGTTTTAATTACAAAAATATTTGAAATCGACAATGACAATGAATTTTAAATAAAGAAAATAAATATATTTTCAGTGCTTATATATCAATCGGAAACGGAACTGCACTACGATGAGAAAAACTATTCTTTTAATATTTTTGGCCATTTTCGAGGTTATTTCAGCTCAACAAAATGTAGATAAACCGAATATAGTGATAATAATGGCAGATGACATGGTATGGTTTTAATTTTATATTAAAAAATTTATTACAGTAAAATTTGCTCTTCTAAGGGTTTTGATGATGTCAGTTTCCGTGGCTCAAACCAGTTTCTAACACCAAATATAGATGCTTTGGCTTACAGTGGTGTCATTTTAAAAAATTTATATACACCGCCTATGTGCACACCATCCAGATCAGCTTTACTTACGGGAAAGTACCCCATCAATACAGGTGAGTAAATATACCCGCAATATTTAAATCAATTTTTTTTTTGATTTATTATCATTATCTTCTACAAGGCATGCAGCATTACGTTATACCAAATGATCAGCCGTGGAGTTTGCCAGTCAATGAAACAACAATGGCACAAATATTCCAACAAAATGGCTATTATACTAGCATTATCGGTAAATGGCATTTGGGTTTCTCACGTAAAGCTTACACGCCTACTCTTAGAGGTTTTGATTATCATTTTGGCTATTTGGGCGCTTATATCGATTACTTTGATCACACTTTATATAATCCAGTAAGTTGTATATACTTATTACTTAATACTAAAACTTAAATGTTTTAATATTAGAACAAAAATTTCTCAAGAGGACACGATTTTCGAGAAAATTTGGATATTTCGAAGAAATACACCGGCACTTATATCACAGATCTTTTAACAGCAAAAGCTGTAAAAATTATCGATGATCACAATATCAATGAGAAGCCGTTGTTCTTGCTTTTGAATCATTTAGCGCCACATGCCGCAAATGACGATAAACCTTTACAAGCACCTCCAGACGAAATTGAAAAATTTTCATATATTAAGGATCCCGAAAGAAGAACGTATGCAGGTGAGTGTAATGGAAATGGTAGTGGTTTATAAGTTAGGCTAGGGCTTTTATGCGCTGCGACCAGCTTTATCTATTATGCATCCCATTGTATTTAAACATTTCGTATCTTGAGGAATCAAACCAGCTCTTTCGGAGGTAGTTTTTAAGGTATTCATCCTCTAGTTGGTATGCAGCTTAAATTTTATGTGTTCTGTGGCCTAGTGCATTAGAGTTGGTGATCAGATGTTCCATAGACTCTTCCTTATCACAGCAAAATCTGCAAATATTTGTATCGGATATACCTATTTTGTGTAGTTCAGAGAGTGATTTTAGGATACTCCTGTTTTGGTTGAGAACGCTGTTTGGTCTTTTGCAATATAATATACTTCAATGGTAAACAAATAATCAAATAATTATTAATAAAGAGATGCGACTGTATGCCCGTAGTCAGAAATTTACTTCAAGAGCTTTCAGACAAAATTTAGGGATCCTGTATTTTATCGCATCTCATAATTAGCGATTATTTGTTGTTTTAATACAACGTTCTTCCTAAGATATTCGTTAAGATTAATTATGTTCATTCTATTCAATTTATATATTTTAACTGATCTTTTATTCTAAACTAAAAAGGTGGTGTTAAATTTATATATATTTTAACAAATCTATTCTCCTTACCTTAGCTTAAACCGGCAAGGTACTTTTCTAAAAATGTGTAAGAAAAAGCTGGTCAATCATAGGAATAAAGTGTAATTATTTCTACTTTCTTGAATTGCTTTTATAACTAATTTCCTATTTAGAAAATTATATGTAATGTGTTAAGAATTTGTCATCCCTTGTCATCAATATTGCTGTATATAGCTTATTCTATATATGGAGTTTATGATTATAGCCCAGGCAACTGAACAATTATCAAGCAGGAAGAGTGAGTTCTTTTCTTTGTTCGACCAATAAGAAGCATCAGATCTTTAACCTAGACGTTTGTTAAATTTTAGCTAATATCTCCAGCTGTAGTTAAATTGAAAACAAAAAGTCAGTGTGTCATTTTCAGGTCATGAGATCATTTTGTTGTCTGACAAGTGGGACCGGGTCGTACACCTAGGTGCTCCTGGGAGTTTACGCAATATATTCAATATATTGTATTGGAACAAAAAATATTTTAATGAAAAATTCTCAGACCATTGCATTTACTATATGCTAAACCAATTAATCGAATTGATAAGTATTGCAACCTATGGTGAATGCAAAATTGTTCGATTTACCTATGTTAGAATATTTGTTAAATTACAAAAGCAAAGAAAAATTTTATATAGATTATGAATTTATAATCTATAAACTATACATAAATTAATATAAACAATTTCTTTAATGCATTATATATCTCGTAATATAATGAGAATAATATTGAGGTGTCGATACTGTTGTGATATTCCAAAGTAAGTTTATATATATGGGATGTCATAATTGGACATGTTGTAATAGTTTTTATTTCGTCATCTCAAGTATATTATTGTAACAGTATACATCTCAAGTATACTTTACTATTTTTAGTATACCACTGTATTTTATCTGTAAGTATTTGATAAAGTAGTGCAACAATCTTTGAAAAAATTGCAAAAAATTAGAAAATGCATTAGGTTCACTTAAGTTTTTATCTAGTGATATATCCGTTGTACTATCTAGAAAAATTTCGAGTTAGGAATTGTTAAAAAAGTTTTGTAGAATAGTGATCGTATTAAGTAGCTTTGATGGCTTAAATAATTTGAAAATATTCGCCAGCTTTAAACCATATGAGAGCATGTTTTTGTTGAAAACTTGGAACGAAATTGTTTTTTATAGAGAATTTATCAAGTCAGATGAGTAAAAGAACACATACTTTAAATATTTAGTTCAAAAGTTTGTAATTTCAATATAGAATATAAAATTCAATTCGATTCAATTTTCGTTTTTAATAAAGCTTTTCATTATTCAATTTAATAACTTAAAAGTCAATTTTATATATTTACAGCTATGATGTCCAAATTAGACACAAGTGTAGCACATATAATAGAAGCTTTGTCCAAAAAATCAATTTTAAACAACACAATTATTTTGTTTTATTCCGATAATGGTGGTCCAACTGTGGGCATGCATGCTACAACAGCTTCAAACTATCCATTAAGAGGAGTAAGTACTTAAAGAATAAATACATTTTCAAAACATCACTTTAATATCTCCATTCATATACGCAGCAAAAAAATTCGCCATGGGAAGGTGCTTTACGTTCATCAGCTGCCATTTGGTCACCAAAATTTGAAAAATTAGGCACAGTTTGGAAGCAGCGTATCTACGTAGCTGATTTACTGCCGACATTAGCTGCAGCTGCTGGTATATACATCAATGAAAGTATAAAATTAGATGGTGTCAACCTGTGGTCTGCACTCAAATATGGCTATGAAGCAGTTGAACGGGAGATCGTACATAACATAGACGATATTGACAATTATGTTTCTTATTTTAAAGGTAAATGGAAATTTATTAATGGTACTACTGAAGAAGGAATTTACGATTCTTGGTTGGGTACGCGACCAAACCATGACGATGAAATTGACAATCGATCTAAGGATTATGAGAATCTCATACGAAATACAACAGTGTGGCATAATTTGTATGAATTTAATACTAACAATGGTAAAGCGAGTAATATCACTGAATTACGACTTGATGCAGAGGTCAAATGTCAGAATACTTCTGCCATTGAAGTGATTACATGCAACCCACTTATTTCGCCTTGTTTATTTGATATAGATGAGGATCCCTGCGAACAAAATAATTTATATGAACAATTTAAAAATTCCAAAATTGTTTTGGAATTGCTAGAACGTATTTCATATTTCCGTGAACATGCACATGAACCTAACAATAAACCCGCCGATCCGCTATGTGATCCGAAGTATTATGAATATGAATGGACTTGGTGGCAAGATGTTCAGGAAGGCAATAGCGCAGTGCGTTCTACAAGTATTTCGTACATTATTTTTATTATACTACTAGTAAACTATTTCTCAATTAAGTTTCTGATTTAGTCTTGTATTATAATTATTAATATAATTTTTACAACTGTATTTATTATAGAATTTAAGGGTATAAAAATATATATATAATGATGAAACAAGAACAATATAATATTTCATAATATATTTTGTTTAATTGGCTTCTATATAGATTTTAGCAGCAAACGATAGGAAATATATTTATTTTATTTTGGAAAATATTTATTTAACTAAAAATTGATTTATGGTATGTTCCGAATTTTTGATTCATAGTAAAGTTCAGAACAAAATGAGTCCCATTTCAATGCGATAAAATAAAATGTTTAGTATAATAAAGAAATATATTTTTTATAAAAATATTTAAAAAAAAATATTATGAGAGAGGTGGTCAATTTTCAATTTTAATCCATTTATAGTGCATCAAATTATAATCTGCACAAAAAAATATTTAATTCTAAGTTACTCAATATCGCAAATACAACATATCCAAGCAGCTATACGTATATGTACATATGATGAAATAATGTAGGTTAAGTCATACATTCCTTTCTAGTATGTTGGAGCTATTATATGGTATAAATAAAATAGAGCTTCAATTTGGTAGAAGCTTTGACTTTAAAATTATAAACGAGTACAATATCCACTAATTAACTGTATTTGTAATAATTTATTCCATAGTCGTTTATGTTGTAATTTCTTAATTAAATCTAACGTTTCTAAATTTAAACCAAGAAGAAAACAAATTTCAGATAATTTATGATTAAATGCACTACAGACAATTGAGCGCCATTGGTTCAACTCGATATATTCAGCGAATATAAGCATTGCTTAACAAAGATTCCAAACTTTTCTAAAAGAGTTCATTTCTTTAGTTATATTGCAGACTTTAAACATATTAGACAAGTAATATCTTCATTTGAAAACTTTAATTGAATTACACACTCTTATCATAGTAATAAGTTCAAG